CTGAATTAGTTTCTCAGTAATACAGTTATCTCTCCTTCTTTTCTCAAATATTAATTTCCTAGGTTTCTTCCCTTTTTCATTCTATGCCTAATCTTTCTCAGAATTTCTAATCAGCTTACGTTCTTACCTGGCATTTCAATGTTGTTGTCTCTCAAGGCTGACCTTAAATAGTACCTGCCTCCGTGTTGAAGGCTCAAATGAGTTAATGAAATATGTAGAGCTCCTAGAACAGTATCTGGCACATAGTAAGTGCTAGGTCATTGTTTGCATTTCCTTTCCTTGATGTAATCCATTGCCATGTTTAGAGTGCCAGTGCCCAAATGCAATGTCATCAGGCAGACTCTTCTCTGCTATCTCATCTTCTCTACTTGCATGGCTCTCAATACCTCAAAGGTAACATGCTGAAAATGAAGCTTACCAAGCCCAAACTTGGTCTATCTCTAAGGTTTTCTGTCCTTAACCCTGTGCACTCAGTTGTTAAGTCCAACTCAGAGTCAATCTTGACATTTCCCTTCCCTTCCTTTACACAGTCCTGAATGCTTATGCACCTTCAAAATGCTTCCCAAAGCCATCTGCCTCTCACCCTCTCTGCTGGTACTATTATTGTTCACTATGCCATCATCTCTGGTCTCGACTACTGCAGAAGCGTCCTCACTACCTTTCTACTTACACTCTGTCTCCATACCTTGCAATGCAATACATGCAGTACAATCATCTGAGAGAACTTCTTAAAAGGCATCCCACTGAGCTTTGAAAAAAGTTGCAAATCTTTCACACATGAGGCCACTGGTCAAAAATGTCTTTTTACAATTCTTCCCACCACCATGCTCCTTTCCGCTTCAGGCACTGCACAGGTATTTCCTTGACAGAACCTCTAACACCCGTCCACCTTCACTCACCAAATGAAGCCTTCCCTGACCACAACCCCTCCCACTGGTCAGATCCTAGTGTTAGAAACAAGCTCACTGTTCCATACTGAATAGCACTTGCCACAATTCCTCTAAAATCACTCCTTGCATAAATCATAGTCTGACATCTGTATTTCATTCAAAATTAAACTCCTTCAGGGAAGGTCTGGCACCTGACTTGCAGACTGCTTACCCCCAGCACCCAGAACTATGCCCTGTGTACCACCCAGCTACTGCTACTGAGTTGATTCTGACTCTATAGGACAGAGAGGAACTGCTCCTTATGATTTCTGAGGCTTTAAATCTTTATGGGAACAGACAGCCTCATCTTTCTTTTGTGGAGCTGTTGATGAGTTCGAACCATTGACCCTGTGATTAACAGCCCATGCTTAATCCACGGCATTACCAGGGATCCCTGTATACAGAATGTGCTTAATAGTTGCTTAATTAAAGGAAAATTGAGGGAAAAAAGACTCTTAAGTTATTCCTACAGATAGGGACAGCATCTGTAGGAATCTTTCACCTATAAACCCACAGCTCATAGTGACTGTAAGACAGAGCAAACCTGCCCTGCAGGCTTTCCAAGGCCGTAACTGTTACTGAAACAGACTGTCACATTCTTCTTCCATAGGGCGCCTGGCATATTTGACCCAAGGACCTTTGGGCTAGATTTGTAGTTTCACATATTGTTGTTGTTAAGTGCCTTTTGGTCCAGTGCTTATCCTACAGTGCCGTACCAGGCCTCCTAGTTTCACATATAAATCCTAATTTTATACCAACTGATGGCAAGCTTTGTTTTCTCATAGATATTTTTGGAAGTAATACTTCTGGGGGGGAAAAAATCAATGCTTCAAATTATTTTCATTCTTCATTCAAATAAGATGCACCGAGCAATTCTATGTTCTAGATTCTGTGGCTATCAGGGGTTCAAGGATGAAGACTCCAAATTCTGAGACACCTATAGTAAGATTCTCAGTGCCACGAAAGAGCCATATACTAACTGTAGCGGGCACAAAGGAGGAGGCAGTCAGTTTCACTAGGGTGGCGGGGCAAAGGGTGGGATCTGTCAAAAAGACTCAAGATAATGCATCCTTACCCTTTTTGGGGAGAGGCCCTTGGTGGTGCAATAGTTAATGTGTTGGCTGCTAATCAAGTCTGGTGATCTACTTTCTGAAAACTCAGCCCTTGAAAACCCTGTGGAGCAGTTCCGTTCTGATACACATGGGGTTGCCATGAGTTGAAGTCCACTTGACAGTAACTGACTTAACTTTTTTAAAAACCTTTTTGGAAGGGTCACAGACTCCTTTGAGCATATAATAAAAAAAAAGTTATCTTCTCATAAAACTTCACAAAGCACATCTACAGCCTAAAGCAATTCTTAATGGACCCTGAATGAAGGCTCTCTGCCTTTGAGGATGTGTCACTTGAGCTGAGTCTTGAAAGAAGAGTCGAGTTTCACTTGGTAGACAGACATGCTAGGTGGAGAAGAGCATATCTGGCAAAGAGGGCAACTTGACAAAAGCTAGGAAACGAGAAAAAAACCTGTCTGACGCAGCAAGGTGTAGAGAGCAAAGAAGGACCTGCTGAAAAACAATGCCAGAGAGTGGGCAGGATCCCATAACAGTAGGGTTTTAAGGCCACGTGAAGCTCTTTGTACTTTATAAATGACGGAATCACTCAAAGTTTCAAAGGGAGAGTTACATGACCATATTTGCAATTTTTAAAATATCATGAAAGCAAAAATGTTTTACACATCATCTCAACAGGTAAGTCATAAGAAAACCAGACAGGTTCAGTGTGTGTTTGGGGGAGGGAGTGTCCAAAAAGTAGTGAGATTATGAACAGCTCTTTGATAACTAAACTTAGGGGATATATGCATATGAAGGGGCTTCAAAATATTTAGGGAAACTGGAATTAATAGATCATGGAATTTTTCCATGAGTTCTTTGAAGACCTCTTGCTGCA